GTGTCAGAGGCAGTGCAGTTGGCACAGGACAGAGCAGGGCTTAGGGCTGTTGTGCATAGGGTCGCTATGAGTCACAAATGACTCAATGGTACATAAGAACAACAACAAGAAAGGTTAAAGTAATTAAAATGAAGAGTTAATTTTGACTTTGGTGGCCATTTAAGTGGCAATGTTCCTTTTTACATTTGAATAATTGCTTTGCAAAGAGCTCATCTTAAGTTGAGGAGTGTAGTCCTTAGGGACTTACACTGTTAACCCAAAGCCTGCACCCTCACCAGCTGCTCGTGAAAGAAGGATGAGCAGCCGCCCCCATTATGATTTACAGCCTCAGAAACCTACTGACGGTCCCTGTGAGGTGGAACTGACTCAAGGCAGTGGGATTTTGAGTCTTTAGATGAGCGCCCATGTGGAACTTCACCTGTTCCTTTCATATTCTGACAAATCTTTGCTCTGTTGATGGAGGATAGATCTAGAAGCCACTCCCAGGTGGTTTATAATTATTGTTTCTTAGTAAATAGTCTTGTTCATGACACATGGGAATCCAACTTGGTGCATTACTGAATTTTCCAGAAGACTGAAGCTTGTCTCTTAGCCAAAGATGTAAACACTCTTAATCTTTACTACTTGAAAATGTCCCAGCTATCCTCCTGCTTATCAGATATACTAAATATGTAATACTATCTTTCTTTGAGAAGTTCTACCTTGTAATATTAGTCATAATTTTTTTCCTGCTTATTTCTAAATTAAATATTCTTGTAGTTGTTTGTTGTTGTTATGTACCATCGAGCTGCTTGAGACTCATAGCAACCCTATGTACAATAGCCATGAAACCTGCTCCATCCTGTGCCAAGTTTACTGTCTCCAACACAACTATCCTCATTATCCCAGTCACTGTATCAACCCATATCATCGATGGTCTCCCTCTCTTTCTCAGTCCCTCCACCCTCCCAAGCATGATGTCCCTGTCCAAGGACTGGTCCCTCCTTACAACATGACCAAAGTATGTCAGATGAAGCCTCAGAATCCTTGCCCTCTCTAGGACAAGCCTGATTGCTCTCCTAGCAGTCCATGGTATATTCAAAACTCTTCTCCAGCACCACAGCTCAAAGATAATCAATTCTCTTTCTATCATTCCTAGTCACTGTTCAGCTCTCTGATGCATAAAAAGCAATTGCGAAGACTATGGCCTGGATCAGGTGCACCTTGGTGTCCAGACTGACGTCGTTGCTCTTCAGTACTCTGGAAAGATCTCTGACACCTGACTTTGCCCAGTGCAATTCATCTCTTGATTATTTCCTGTCTGCTGGTCTCAAGAGTGTTGATTGTGGAGCCAAGCAAACTAAAGCTGTTAACAATTTCAATCTCTTCATCATCCATCCTAATGCTGCCAATCGGCCCAGTGGTGAGAATCTTTGTTTTCTTGATGTTGAGTTTCAATCCATATTGAAGGCTGGAATCTTTGATCTTCTGTAGCAAGTGCTTCAGGTCCTCCTCAGTTTCAGCAAGCAGGGTTATGTCATCTGCATAATGCAGATTGTTGAGGGGTCTCCCTCCAATCCTGATACCACATTCCTCCTCATACAGTCCAGCCTTCCAGATGATCTGTTCTGCAAATAGATTGAAAAGGTATGGAGACAGAAAACATCCGTGGCAGACACCCTTCCAGATTTTGAAACATGCAGTGGTTAAGTTCAGCTGCTGATCCAGAGGTCAAAGACTATGAACACACCAGCCACTCTGGTGACAAGATAAGGCAGTCTGCTTTCAGAAAGACTTTACAGCCTTGAAAATCACACTCGGGCAGCTTTACTCTGTTGTATAGGAGGGCTACGAGTCAGAATCAACTCCACAACAATTAATTGGTTGGGTTTTGGTTTCGTAGCATGGGTAAAGGGCCCTGGTGGCACAATAGTTAAGCATGAATCTGTTAACAGAGAGTTTCATGGTTTGAACCCACCAACCCCTCTTCGGGAGACAGGTGTGGCAATTTGCTTCTGTACAGGGTAGAATCTTGGGAATCTTACGGGCAGTTCTACTCTTTCTCATCAGGTGGTTGCAAGTTGGAATCTATTTGAGAGTGATGAGTACAGCGTGGATGCCTAATCTATTAGAACAGGTGCTCAAAACACTCCTCGAGCCATTTAAAAGCCTACTGCCTGAATATTGGCACCTTGATTTATTTCCTCTTGTCTGATTTTCACAGTACCTGCCTGGTATAAAAGGTTGATATGCTTGGCTACTAACTGAAAAGTAAGCGTTTCACACCTACCCAGAGGTATCTTGAAAGAAAGTTCTGGAAATCTTCTGAAAGATCAGCATGGAAACCCGGTCTGCTCTGACACACGAGGGGTGGCTGTGAGTCTGATTCAGCTGCATGACAGCTGCTTCGTGCTGTGTGACGTGGGTCTCTGTCCCGGGAGGATCGTTCTGCCGTTTTGCTGCCACTCCTTCTCACCTTCTCTACTGTTACCATATTCTCGCCTCTGTCTCCTTCGTCTAGAAAGTTCTCGTTCAGGGACCAGAGTGCAATGAACATGCTCCTCTCTTTTCTCTTCTAGTTTTCATGAAGTTCCCCTTCCATGTGGGGAATGACTCATTGTAAGCTTAGCCAGATGACAAAACTGACTAATTCTTTTGTCAGGGTTGCTTAAGCTTTATTGGCCTGATCCCACTCCTACAAGCACTCCAAGCATCTTATTTAAGCTATGAGCAACTATCCAATCCCCTTGATGGCCCACAGGACCTCATTTGCATAATCCCTCCTAATCAGTTGGTGGGAGTTACAAAGACTATGGCTTGTTGTTAGGTGTCCTCAAGTTGACTATGACCTGTTGTGGTCCTATGAACAACAAATGCCAACTTTGGCCTAGCTTGTGCCATCCTCATCATCTTTAATATTCATGAGCCCGCTCTTACAGTCACTGTGTCAATCCAGTTCATCGAAGGTCTTCTTTTCTTTCACTGACCCTCTAAAAATCATGTGTTTTCTACACTAACGGTGTCACTGAGTACAGTCTACAATCCCCACATCTCCTTAAGGACACCATGTTGTTGACGGTGACCCTATGAACAAAAGACCTGAGGGTCTCCTTTTCATGTCCATATTAGCATCTGCAGTAAGTGAGAAAACATTAATGATGTTTAATGAGATGCTCTAATATTGATCCCATGAGAGAAGGAAGGGCCATCTTCTCCACTGTGATTAACTGCTGGAGGGTCAGCTATGGGTCATTTGTGACTCGATGACACACAACAACAACAACAAATAATGATCTCAGTAAGAAGCCACATGGACAATTTAAAAATGAGACCCATGTCAAAATGAGGGAGCTTTGGGATTGAAATGCAGACTAGCATGGCTAAGAGCACGAGTTCTTGCAGTTAAACCATGTGAATTTGATTTATAGA